CCCCCCCCGCCTCCCCACACACACACATTCTCTGCTTGACGGGAGCACCTTGGGGAGAAAGGCTGGAGAGAGAGGTAGGTCATAGCTCTCTAGACAGTGTGGAACACAGGGAGCTGGTGAGACAAGTGCACTGGTTTCTACTTGACCAGGGTCACTCGGCAGAAGACCTACCACACCATCTCTCTGGCCTGGAGTCCAGGAGGAGCCATATTCGAGGGCCCTAATCAGTGGCGTATCAATTTAGAGTCTCTTTCCTCCTTCTGGGCCTCTAAACTCGTCAACTGCCCTGCTCCACATCTACATCTCAATGGCCCCTAGGGATTTAGCACTGCCACCTCCTCCAGGAAGTCTTCCCTGACTCTCTGAAGCTGGTCTTGTATGCCTCTCCTCTGGAGTCTATAGCATTCTGTGCTAAGTAAGTTTCATGATCCAGCATCCGCTGTGCTGAACTGCCAAAGGTCAGGACCTCCTTAGCGCTTACCGATGTGGTGTGCCTGGTCCGCGTGGTGTGCCATAAACATTGGCTGAATGAATGAACCAGTTTACTCATGGAGATGTGGGGGCCCCATCCTTTGTTTCACTCTATCTTCTCCAGAAGCCAGTGGTGCCCAGATGGGATCCAGAAGAACAGACCAGCCTAATGCCTCTCTGGGCAGGAGGAGGGGAGTTCAATCACACTAGCTTTCCTGCCTGTGACTCAGCTTGGACCATAAGACAGGGAAGAGCCCAGAGCCAGGGAGGGTCCTGCCCCTTTAACTTGGCACAGGACAAGCGCTGGCCCAGACTTAGGAGCTGGCTTCCATCCCTTGTTCACACCGCCCTCTGTTCCATGGGAAAGCCTGGGGTGGGGCTGTGAGGACAGTTTGTACAGCTCTGGCCTTTTACCCTGACACTGCCCTGCCTGGGACAGCGTGGATGGGCAGATATGTGGGCTGAGTAGATCTCAGCTGGTCTCAGTATGCTTGTTTATTTGAGCAGGGTGGCACTTTAATCTCGGGATCTGAAGGGACTGAAGGGACAGTGGCTTGGAAAGTGCTTTCTCCAATACCTGCAGTTATGGGGGAGGAGACTGCCTAGTTTCTGTGACTCATGGGGTAGGGCCTGCTAGGTCAAGGGCATGTATTATCTTTACTTATGGACACCCAAAGTCTGGCTGAGATCTGTGTTTTAAAATGTAAGAGGATGAGGAAAGAGTAGGTCAGGAAGGACAGAGTTTGGAGGGCGGCCGGGGCAGGAGACAGTCCTGGGTCCCTGAGCACCTTTGAGGCTCCCAGCAGGCCCTTCTGTGAGCCTTGCCTCCCCAGGCTCAGAGCCTTATGGTTGCTGCTGGCCTGGCCTTGCAGGAAGCCCAGAGGGCAAAAGGGAGGGCATGTTACTAGTAAGCAGGCTGGCAGTGAACATCCTGCCCTCCTTTTGACATCTGGCTGGAGACAGTCACAGACCTTGAAGGTAGATGTTATGCAAAGACCATCCCCCGCCACCGGGCTAGAACTCCATCTCCCTCTTCCATGCCACAATCCCAGGCATGTGTCCCCAAGCTCCCTCCTCCCAAACATGTCAGGAAAAGAGAACAGTGGGGCCGAAACTGTGCCCAGTGCTGGCCCTGTATGTCATAAGTGGGCATTCATGAGAGTCCCATGATTTCCTGGGATAAAGGTCACTTATGTGCAGAAAGCCTAGCACAGGGGGCCCCCCTCTACACCCCCGCCCCCGCCGCCATACCGGAGCCAGATAGGTTGACTTCCCACCTGTGAGAGCAATGCGTGATCACTGAAGTCAGCTTGCCCCCATTTCACAGAAGAGAAACTGAGGATCAAAGCATTGAAAAAGAGAAAGAAACAGGCTCCGGAGTCTTGTTATTTTCCATCCTCCCAAGTGTCAGCTTATTTTCTGAGCACGGTCGGCTACTGTGTCACCCCTTGCCTACTGTGACATAGGGAAAACAACTAAAACCTACAAAGGGTGTTGATTGTTTTGTCAGCCACTAAACAATGCAGCATCTGTATTACAATACCCAGGATTCCGGGGCCTTCGACATGAATCTAGAAAGCAGAGAGACCTAATAAACTGAGTCTGCCCATCCATTTCAAAACCCTTGCCCAGGCCAGGGCAGGGTCAATAAAAGGGAACATCTTACTAAATAGACACGGCAGATGGTTTGACAGGCCACAATGACTCAGAGCCACAGGAAGTGAGAAAGAGAGAAGCAACAATGCCCCACAAGTCTGCTTCCATCTGAAAGCTCTGGGAGGGGGCCACCCGCCCCGCCCACCATGCCTGGACGACTCCCCTTCCGAGAGGTCAGGGCGTCCTAGGAAGGTGCTTAGAGTGGGAAGCCCAATCCATGCTCGGAGCAGTGAGGTCATTAAACAGAGGCCTCCACCCAGGGGGAGGAGAGTGCTGAGGCCGCTCTGAGAAGTGCCTCCACATTCAGGAGGCATAGCTCGCTCTCTCTCACCTGTCTTGGCGTGACCTGCTTGGGTCGCATGTTTTCTCTGTAGGTAGAAGGAAATTTTGACAGGACAATCAACATGTTTGCGTCCTTAGCAGTGGGAAGAGGTGGAGAACTGCTCAAACTGACCTCCCTCCGGTCAGGTATCTCTGAGACAAAGGTCAGATGGATGCAAGCGCGCAGGTGCAAAATGAAATAAGAGCTAGGCCACAGAATTCCTCAGAAAGACCCCCACCCCGTGAAGAGGTCAGGATGGAATGTGAAACCAGGCAGGCCTCTCTGGTGATGCCTGCTGTAAGGAATCTAGAAATCACCTGAGGGACACTCAGCCCAGCCCTGGAATCAAGTCCTGATTACCATATTTGTGGCCCAAGGGGAGCCAGAAGAATCACCGCCAAGTGGGAACTATTAGGAGAATGATTAGGCACAAATGCGGAAGCCCCAAGTTTGTAGGGCAAGTGGGCAGCAATTAAAAAACACACACAAATGGCCCTGGCCGGTTTTGTTCAGTGGATAAAGCATCGGCCTTCGGACTGAAGGGTCCCAGGTTCAATTCTGGCCAAGGGCACATGCCTGGGTTGTGGGCTCAATCCCCAGTGGGGGACTTGCAGGAGGCAGCCAATCCATGATTCTCTCTCATCATGGATGTTTCTATCTCTCTCTCCCTCTTCCTTCCCCTCTGAAATCAATAAAAATATATTTAAAAAACAAAACAAAACAGAAAAAACACACAAATGGATTTGGGGTTCCTCCTGAGCAAAGATGATGCCTAGAATCTCCAGTTTCTACATTTAGTAGAACATTTTACTTTAAATCCCTTTATCCTTTTTTTTTTCTCTTCACCTTATATATCTATTTACTTTCATTGTCCGTCCCACCAGAATATAAGCTCCGAGAACCTGGGGCTTATTGAGCAGTGTCCCCGCTCCCGGCTCAGTGCCTGCTCTATAGTAGGGGCTCAGTAAATATTTATTGCAATGAATGAAGCAAATTTTAGGACTCCCTTTCCTGGGCTCATACTCTGGTTCCCAACCCCTTCTAGTTACGTTGAGGTATAATTACCGTACAATAAAATGTGTAGATAAAAAAAGTGCAGATCATACGTGTTCAGTTTCATGAATCTTGACAACTGTATAGAGTCAGATAACCAGCATCCAAAACAAAATATAGAACATTTCAATCACTAAAATCCTCCCTCAGATCCCTTTCCAAATCAAATCATCCTGTCTTAGATAACCATGTTCTGACTTCTCTCATTACAGATTGGCTTTT